GTACTCTGTCCCATGCCTCATCTTTGAATGGAATTGGTTTTGATATTCATCCCACCCACCCTGAGAATTAATTGAAATACGGGAGGGAAAGACTTTTGCGCCTTAGTGTAGGTATTCGGATATCATTGCAACGGGAAATTATTTCACCATGCACTCTCGTTTGAGGTTTTGTTTCTGTTATGAACTTTGTCTTCCTATTCATCAAAATTTGGATTTTACCTCTAATATTCGCTTACAGGTCCATTTACCTCCGAGCTACCAAATATCAATGTGTCTTCTTCATGATGAAAAAATCAGACATTCAGTCCTAAAAAACTTCTGAGTTATGCAGAACCTGAATACAATTCATGCATGATACCACCTCACATTGAAATTTATTCACGGATTTTGTCATGAAGAAGAGGGAAAATTCAGGAGATATTCTTTCGATTTAACGTTCATGATACCATAGTGCATTCCTCCGTTTTCCCTTTTTTCAACCGGAGTTTCGCAGTGATCACGCTGTGTTTCTTGTTGGAAAAGAAGAATGATCCTGTGTGGGGCTTCGCATTTCCCCTCTGTACAGTTTCGCATTCCCCCGCGTGACGTTTTGGGGGCTGATGAACCGAGGTGAAAAAGTGCGAAATGGGCCCCTTTGGATCCCATCGTGAATGAGGCAGTGACTGGGTTTTGCTATTCCTTTCGCATTTCGGCAGATGTTTCTGATATCGTCATCGTGTGACACCAACTCTTCCCTATGAAAAATCATGCCTTCTAACATTGCCGCTCACCGTCGCGGTGCGGAAGTGCTCTGGTCAGGTGGCAAAAAGATCATGTGGGCAAAAGCGATGTACCCAAATTCCGTAAGAGGGAATGCTCACCTGCTGATCATCACATCCATGAAGGAGTTTCTTTCCTTTCCGGTCGATGAAGTCAAAGTCAAGCTGGTTTAGAATACTCTAGAAAAACAATATTGGAATATGATAAGACAATCACATAGTTCTTTTGAAATGCCCCTAGAGAGGGAGAGAGATAACGCGGACCCGTGTTTCCCAAATCCTTGCGGGGCGCACGCGAAGTGTCGGGCCAGTGGTGGCCATCCCGTGTGCTTCTGCATCTACTACGGGAACCCCGAGACGGGCTGCATGGAGGGGGAATGCGTCGGTGCGTCTTCCGCGATCTCAAGCTTTCCCGAAGGCGCGAGAGCGGTATGTCATCCGTCGTTTCTCGCTTTCGCAGAGACTCACGACTGTAGCGACGATCGAGTGTGCAAGGATGTCCACTGCACGGATCCGTGTCCGGGGACGTGCGGGAAGGGTGCACAATGCATCGTCCGGAGACACGTCCCCGCCTGCACCTGCCCCGCTGGTCACACCGGTGATCCCTTCGAACGGTGTCGACGACTCGGCCCCGGTAACGTTTCACTGCATGCGTCCGTTTCCCGGTGTCTCCCGGGCGTTCGTGAGACCAATTTCGTCCGTGAATTTCCAGAGGAGCTGTGCGATCCGTCGCCGTGCGGGAAAAACTCCAAGTGCGAGGTTGCATTCCATCTGGTCATCTGCTCCTGCCTTCCCCATTTCTTCGGCAACCCCGTCCAAGGGTGCAGGTGAGCTATTTCGCCGTCTCCAGGAGGGAATGGAAGCGCGGCCGGAACGGACCCACGCTCTTGCCACGAGGCGACGTGCGGTCCGGTCAATCCCGTTTCCTGCGTCCACTGTTCCCGACCTCCTTCGGAAAACTTACGTTAGGAAGCATCGGAAACTGACGCGACAGCGTACCTCTTCCCCCGAAGATCGTATCGGAAGAAATAGAAGGGGTGGATCTTCCCGTCGCTCACCGTCGTGGAGCACACTGATGCCTATTTTTATGGGGAGAGCGAACGCGATGAATTTAACCCCTTCGGACCTGACACCCATTCCAATTAACATTGCATTTACATTGTGCCAATGGAAATTTCTTAGGATTCTCGTGACTTTGCACTCCATGTTATGCTACAATGGGCGGAATTATGCACGGGAATGATACACCAGAGACCTTCTTCCACGCATTATTTTTGTAATATTCAGGTATTTAATAAAATGTATGATATATAATATATGGTGTGATATGGCAAATTTATATAAAATTAGAAAACTACATATGAAGCTCGAAATTTTCAATTACAATTATGGAAGAGCACAAAAATGCAAAAAATATATTATACCCATAGCGGCCTTAATTCAGGTCTAAAAGGGTTAATATGTGAAATGCTATGGTTTCCAGGGCGGAGTGCGAGTCGGATTCAGGCTGCTCACTGACCCAAGAGTGTCGGCAGTATAAGTGCGTGGACCCTTGCACGAATGCGTGCGGGGAGAACGCAGAATGCCATGTGGAGAACCACAAACCCAACTGTTCCTGCCCGAAAGGTTTCACGGGTCATCCCTTCGATCACTGCAAGCCCTTAAATCCAGGTCTCTTCCTCTCTTTTTTCTTCTTCCCTCGCCTCCCGTGGAGGGCGATCGTCGGTCGTGAGTGTGGTAAGGCGTTTCTGCGGTTCTCGCCTCGAGACCGTCACGGAGCATCCGGGATGGGGCGAATCTGTTCGGAGTCGTGCTGGGATGTACAAGGGCTGTATCGAATCGAACGCCTCGTAAGCGGATTTCCGTACTTCCCCGTGAAAAATCCGGCACGACCTGCATCCCGGAGAAATTCAGAGACAATGAAAGGTCTTCGCTCGCAGAAGTTATGCCTTTCTTACTTTCCCTTTCGCCTGTGAGCTTTGACGTAAAAAAATCGTTAAAGAGGAGTTCGACACCATCCCTCAGGATGGCGTTCAGAAGGCCTGTCGCTCAGTCCATTTAGTTTTGAGATTGACGGCAAGCAAATCAAACTTCGCAAAGGATAATCTCCTGATTGTAAATGTTTCGTGCTGGATGGCGGTGTGGAGGCAAGGGGAACCGCTTGGAAAAACTCCCCATGGGATGAACGACGGATATCTCCATGTTGGCTCATCATGACTAACGCTAAAACCGTGAATCGGATCTCAGCATATTCTGCTAGCACATTTGAAAGTTGATATCTCAGTAAGGATATGGGATAGATTCATGAAACTTTCAGGGTTACTGGAACAAGGCATATTCATTTGAATGATATTCTTTAAAGGATGTTATCAAATTGATAAGATCTTGATTTGAGAGGTTTAGGTAGAATGAGTTTTTCTAACCTAATAGAGGGCGCTGCGAGAAGCAAACCCTATCCAATATTTTGGCAAATATGTTAGGTATTGTCGTCAAATTTCATTAAGCTTGGTTACGCCAGCAACAGCAACCTTAGTTACATCAGCCATTCCAAAAAAACGGGACTGCGTCCCTTTACCACTCTCCCCTTCCAGGGCACTGGGTTGATCAATGGCTACAAAACAGGCCCAATATATTCATATTGGGCCTTTGAAAGCCCAGAACCTGAATGATAAACTCTCGTTACCAATAGACCAAGCGTTACTTCTCCTCGGCGGAAGGAGAGGAGGGCAATGCAAAAATAGTTTCTTCAGCTGTTTCCTACTTCTGCCACACCCTATTTCATACGAGACATACATATCTTACCTTTTTAGAGAAAAAATCAGCTTGAGAAAGACTTGCGTTTTACAAGGAAGAAAGTGTAGATGATGCCTTCCCAAGACGGAAGCACATGAGCAATCCTTTGAATTCCTAGTATCAGTAGCTCTGGACAATGGAAATAAACATTCTTGTAGCCGGAGGGAATATGATTATGCGGCGAATATATTTCATACTACCTTCAATGAACATTAAGGTGGTAGGGGAGGGAAAATCGACCGACTGGGATTCGAAATTTGAAAAGTAATTATTGGAGGGGATCCCTAGGGAAGTGCAAAGAGGGGTCGCACAGTCACCTCCGACACATAGTTTGGCCAAAAGTCACTGCCAAAGTTGCCGCTAGATGGCCATTTGTTGAGTCGAATTCAAACGACTACAACTCAGAAGCCGTTGGCCAGAGGAAAACGCAAATAATGTATTTGGAAACGTAAGACAATCTACTTTTCAATGAAGGGTTGCAGACGCAGCAAAACGAGATTTTAGCCAAAGCCATTCGACAAACCGAACATGCATAATCAATAATTTTACATCACTGTTTGAAAACGAATTCATGAAAAAGGCAACCAAATTCAAATTGTTTCATGGAATGAAACAATTTCCATCCTCTAATGAGACCTACCAAAATCGCAACCTATGATTCGACATCATTGCAAAACTCGGGCCATACCAAGGGAATAAAGCCAGAAAATTCGGTGGGTATCCTGCCGGAAACGCTTAGCTTGAATGAATTTTCCGAAGAAACCAGAACATAGATCACAAATATGAATGCATCCACGCATTCCAGGCACTCATACCTATCGATCTATCAGAGAAAATTTCACGAGTTACGTCTTAAATGCGATTTCGAACGTTTTTCGACACCTTTGTTGAATGGGGAGGCGAAATATCATTTTGGTTTGAGTGAACTTTCTGAGCGAACCACCCACCGCAAAGGGACGAGCAAAGTCTCACTGCCATCCAGAGAATCTTCCCTATCGATCTTTCAAAGAACATATCCCGATTTTTGCCTTGAAGCCGAGAAGAACAAGAAAACCACGCAAAGTAGCGTTTTCCCCCCTAATTTCGAGCACATTTCGGTCCTTTCCTCCAAAATGCTCTGTATAAGGCCCATGAGATTTGGTGTAAAAATCGACCGATAGGTCCTCTATATTCGCATGCATGCTTTTGTCTGTGGTGGGTCTGTAGCCCGAATGGCGGTCGAAATACTGTTCCAAAAATTCGGCTATTCCCAGTTATATGGCCGTTTGACCTTTGAACTTTTAAGTCAGCTTGAATCCCAACCCCTCATATAAAAGCCGATTGTCTTAGGTTTCCAAATACGTTATTTGCGCTTTCCTATAGCCAACGGTTTCCGAGTTGTAGTCGTTTGCATTCGACTCAACAAACGGCCATATAGCGGCAACTTTGGCAGTGACTTTTGGCCAAACAATGGGTCGGAGGTGACTGTGCGACCCCTCTTTGCACTTCCATAGGGACCCCCTACAACAATTACTTTTCAGATTTTGAATCTCAGACGGTCGATTTTTCTTCCCCTACCGCCTTAAAATATACCAAACTAATTTTTTTTTCAATGTTGCTCTTAGTCTTAATGAAGTTTAATATGTCATAATAGGTCAAAGGAAATTCTATTCAAGGGAGAGTCCGTATTCCAGTGTGATAGATTGGTCCATACCGTTCAGAGTAATATACGTTCTCGGATTTATGTGGAATTGAACATTATTTCACCATGCACACTTGTTTAAGGTCATTTTTCTGTTATAAACGTTAGAATCGTTTAAATAGAATCAAATAGTTCGAATGTCAGCCCTCAAATCTTCTGAGCCATACGGAAGTATGGCTCAGAAGTACACTTCATATATGATATGACGGCGTGATGAAATGTATTCACGGCCGCGAAGAAAATTAAATCCTAAGGTACCTATTGCTATAGAGAGGGAACAACTACCCAAGAAATATGTTGATTGGTCAAATGCCATGGAGTCCTTGCAAAACCATGGAGATGCAATTCCTCGAAATAGGCAAAATCACAGACGATTTATGAGTCGAACTCAGTGGATGCATTCATTGCTGTAGCTGTAATGAATGCATCCACTGAGTTCATAACTGAGGTCATAAGAACAACTTTATATTTTTTCGCCAACAGGCGGAGTGATCGGATGCGGACAACTCAGCACCATTCAACATGGATCCTTTACTATCGAGTCTTGTGGCAGCCCATCTGAAGAGGTTGCTAAAAGAAGCAATGCAAGCTGCATTCAAGATGAAACCTATGCATTTTCGAGCATCGTAAGATACAGATGTGAGAAATATTATGAACTGCAGGGGCCGGAATTTAGACATTGCGCGACGGATGGAGAATGGACCGGACTCACCCCGTTTTGTAAGCCAGGTCGGTTTCTTTTACTACCATATTCCTTGTTCACCTGACACATCTCTATTTCCGAATGACTCTATTTTGTACCGTTCTATACGCAGTATGCGGAAAGAAGGCAAGTCAAATTCAACTATCAGCAGGAGGAAATACATCTGAAATAGGAGAATGGCCATGGCAAGCGGCCATTTATGACATGAAGAAGGAGGATATTATATGTGGAGGGGCTCTCATTAGGGAAGAATGGGTGCTAACAGCTGCCCATTGTGTCGTTGTGGATGGTTCCATCAGAACTCGGCACACTGAAGACATTTTTGTCTACCTTGGGAAGCATTACCGATCTGATATCAAGAAAGATGAACACGTGCAGATCAGACCAGTTCAGTAACCTTCTAACATGTTCGAACTTCCTTCCATTTTATCCTGATAATGTAAACTGTCGCAATCTCCTTGCAGGTGTCTCACATAATCTTGCACAGGGACTTCAACGTACATAATAACTACGACTCGGATATAGCTTTATTGAAACTAAAAAGACCTGCCGTGCTAACATCACGAGTTCAGTTGGTATGTCTCCCGAACCGATTTGATTTCTCTGAGGCGAACCTCGACAGTGGAGTGCCAGGATGGGTAAGACACCAAATATCTTAAATACATCTACCTAAAATTTTACCTTTAGCATTCTTGTTGCATGTTTTCTTCTACGATTGTGAATTGATGCAGGTGGCCGGTTGGGGTCATGACGGCTCGGATAAACTCGCAGCTCTCCTGACGCAGGTTCAACTCCCGGTGATATCCAATCTCAAATGCGTTCGGGACACCCTTCGTTTCACGGGAGACCCCGGCTTCACTCGTACTCTCACCTCAAATATGTTCTGCGCGGGTTTTTCTGCGGATACTCCTCTTGAAGGTATAGTCTCGTAATCCATGATTGCGTCAAATTCGCATGAATACATTCTGAGATTATCAAATCAGCTTTTTCCCAATTCAATACGCAAGTCTAATGCTTTGTGAAACCTCTTAAATGTTAGTGGACACACGTGTGGACATGCTTCTGCACGTGTGCGTCCGCCGACCTGCCCCAGCATTGAAGCAAAGGGGGCATAACACGCAAAGTGTGAATGGCCTTAAGAGTCCTACGAACCAATTCCAAGAGTGACGCTGAAGACTAGTTTCCTCTTCTCGTCTCTTCTCGTTTCTTCTTCGTGTTGGGAATTCTTGTGTGGAATATTCTCGGTTAAAATGACACGAGGAATCCATCGCAATGCAGGAATCGAGGGAATCCATCATTGCCACTATGAAGGAAGGTTGCCTCATCACACGGCAACTTCATTTCCTTTACATTGCTCGGAATTCTCAGGAAAACGTTCTTATAGTAAAGGCGCATTACGACGATCATGGATCGACTGCAGGGGGTTAGAAAAGCCAGTGCTATATATGAAGGAAGAGACAGTAGATCACATAGTACCTTTCGCCAAGACTGGTGAAAGGGGAGAAACCTCAGATGTCTAACTAATGACAACACTACGAGGGTATTTCAATGAATAACTTGATAGGAACACTAACATTCATGAAGGAGTAGGAGTGGTAGATTTGAATTGACTGTACACAAGGGGAGCATTATCTGGTACATGCTGGTACCGTCAGAGCTTGCCCCGTGTCGGTAGTGATATCGCTGATTAAAGTAAATATGTCCGATAACTTTAAAAATGACTACACGCATGAACAAACTTTGAGTTGCGTATTGTCATTAGATTTCTTCATGCATTTTAATAACACTGAAACATAACTGCAAATTCTTTTTTTAGATGAATAAAACAATAATATTGATGATTTCTACTGCACAGACTTTGGAACTGTGTGTCCTGGGGACTCGGGGAGTCCCATGGTCTTCCTCTCCAATACATCACAGGACAGCCACTGGACGATGGAAGGGATCGTGAGTCACTTTTTCCAGGAAGGTACTTGCTCCATGAGACGCCCTGGGCAGTATGGAATTTTCACCAAAGTTAATAGGTGAGATCGGATTAATCCTACTCAATTTATCATACACATCCCTGTCCTTTCTTCTCATAAAAAAAGTTTTCCCCTTTCTTCCCTTCAGGTTCTCCCGGTGGATCAACAGGGTAATATATAGTGGCTACTGAGAAATCACAATTTATTTAACTAAACGGAAAACCTTGATAACCGAAATGAAAAAAAGAATCGTCAAACAGTCTTGTGCATTTTTGCCAATGTGCGCACTCACACATACACACAAATTTGCTCTGCATCCACATATGTACATATGCATGGCTTGAGTCATTCCATGGATTTTAGCCATGAGTATGGTCGAAGTATTTGGTTATTGACTGTGGTTCTCGTAGTCGGACTCAAGCTGGGATTACTTCTTCCTACGTATTGCCTTACTTATTCAATCCTAGAACTCCGGGAAGCAGTACGACGACCTATAACATTCGATTTTATCATTTTATGTTCATATCACATGAAGGCTGAAAATACTTTTTATTGGGCTCGTTTAGTCTAATTTGTAACCTCATGATGATGCAGGCTGCCGAGTAATTTTCAGGGATTTGCTCTTTCCCTGTTTTTTTCCATGTTTTAAATTCCATACGATGTACCCCACTCTGCAAGCTACTTGGTGGTGCTAAAATCTGCTCAGAGATTTTCGCATTCATTTATCAACTTCCAGATGAGGCCAGAGGCCGACATATGACATCCATCTTTCCTCTCGGCTCCAGCTAATTTTATCCCCTGGAGCATACGCGCAGCGGTCGTTTAACTAAGGCGCCTCGAAAATTGTCAATTACGCGAAGAATATGCGGAAAGGGTTGCATACGGCAGGTAAATTTTTCAGTTTTTTTAAATGTCAGATCCATATCATTGATGATGAATGTGCAGGAACATGTTATGGTAGTAACTTGTTGCATCAGAGGAATGGAATGTTGTGAAATTTGAGACAAATTCACAAGAAAATGTCATATGCCTGGACCTACAGACAAAGCAATTCGTGAATTAGTGAACAAATTCAAAAGGACTGGATCTGTGCATGACGAAGAAAGATCTGGACGCCCAACAACAGCACAAAAAACATTGAAGCCCCATCTCCGACCGGTCGTTGAGAGCGTGACCCACGGACGACGCTGTCAGCGTCTCCACAGCAGCAACAGGTGACGACTGCAGGGTTGGGCGCGGGACAGGTAGGAGATGATCAGCCAGGGCTTCGCTGTCGTTCCCTGCAGACTTGCGAGAGGCAACGCCGCGGCCTGGATTTCGTTTCGTGACTGACCGAATACGTTGTGGACGTACTTCGCGAAGAATTAAGGCAAGAGGAGGAGGACTTATTCGGCTTAGGACTCTCCGCTTGATTCTAAATTTTTTCGCTCCCGGCCATTGTTCTCCTCATGGTCATTCCAGATGACGTGTTTCCTTCGAGTACTAGGTTGAATAAAATTATGGTGGGCATCCAAATTTTCTTTGAAACAATGAAGTCCTCCTGAAAATGCCTTGCGAATTAACATATGAACCGTGATGCTGTTATTTTTCTCATTGAAAGGGGCCAGGAGCTGGGGAAACTCTCCAAGAGCGAATAACACAGCCGAATGAATTATTTTAAGAGGTTTTTATAGCAAGATGAGGGGAGAGGAAGAAGGCGGATGTTGTTGACTGAAGGGCCATTGTCATTCTGCTCTTCACTCTGCTTCTGCTTTCTCTCTACTCTCAGAGAATTATCAAAGAGAATAAGGCGAAAAATAGTTCATATTTATCCGGAATCTCCCAATAATTCTACGAGTCAACGCGAATTGCTGGAATCCAATTGAAAGTGGCCCAAGTAAATAATTGTTCGTTGAAATTCATTTAAATGCAGCCTTGAAAGATCTCCGGATCCAAGTCTTGAAAATCAGTTCCATCCGTGCATTGACCCTTCACGCTTCCCAGGAAGCCCGGATTGAGCACAATCCAGGCCATACTACATGTGCACTCGACCGGATTCTCTGGAAAGCAAGGGGAAGGCGAGGAGTGCCAAGGCAGAGGAAGGGAAAGAAGGGGACTTGGGAGTCTGTGGCTCGGGCGGCGGTGCAACTCACCGGCTAGATCGATGTACCCAACCCCCGAGGAGAGGACCTGCAGCATCGGCCGGATTGATTCTTCAGTCAGTTCGCTGATTTGATTCCCCGATAGACGTATGCTCGCGTTGACTGTGAATCCTGGAATACGAAACATGCCCTGCTATTCAAGAACATCCACGTGCAGGACAATGGTGAGTGAAGGAGTTCAATCACGAGCACCGCTCGTACCTGTGATAGCGTGCGATTCCAGGCTGGAGATGGTGCTCTGTTCGAGACTCACGAGATCTAAGGCTGGACTGTGGAAAGCCAACGTTCCGTTCAGTATAGTTTGTCCCAGTTTGCAGGAAAGACACCAGAATTGCTCTAAATTCGGCAAACCCCAGAAGAACTCATGCTGGACCTCCGACATTGGGCTATAGTCTGCACGGGGTGGAAGGAAAGCATTAGAAACCATCCCCATCATCTGAAGATGAAAACAAGTAGTCTCCGAGTCATCGCAATCAACATAAAGTCACTCACCGAAGGAGAGAACCGTCAGGTTTGGCGCAGACCAATTATATTCGAGTCTGGTTATTTGATTGCCGCCGAGATCGAGCGTGGTGAGGCTTGGGCTTAGAACAGGCGGCAGATCGGTCAAATAATTATTTCTGAGGTCCATATAGTAGAGATGGGTGAGCTCAGGCAGCACCTCCCATGGGAATTCTGCCAAGCCACTGAAATATATCTGCACGTGGTAGAGCCGATCTTTGGAGGGAAGGAGGGCCGAAGGATGCACGGCGGCCACTGCGGCATGGAATATGATTATCGCCTCGAAAGTGACATTTCCGAACACTCCCTCCGGTAACTCTCGAACACCGTCGTTCTCAATCAACAGGAATTGCCTGGAAACGGATATGAGAAACAATCATTGTCTACTTTGATTAAATACAATTGAGATATGAGTTGTGATTTTAATTAAGAATTCTCTTCAAAAAATTTTTTTGTTGGGGAAAGGACGCTTTTAACCACAAAAAATCGGACAAGACAAAACAACAAAATTGTTGTCTTGTCTAAAGACAGTTTCCGCCTAATATTGGACATCCTCTCGAAGGGAGATGGAGTCCTCACGCTACCCGGTGAATTTCACGATTTCTTACCATGTTATCATATTCATTCTTCACTTCGTTACACTGCTTCTTTGCTATTTCCGTCGTGTCTCTATTCCAGGCAATCCTATCCGATGCGATTGTGACATAGCATGGCTGGTTCTCAATCAGAAATTTCTTACGAGTATTTCTGGGAAGTACCACAATGGAACCGAATTCAAGAATTTTGATGTTTTTGCTATGAAAAGCTGTGGTCGTCGATCGAACGTTTCAGCATCCGCAACTCAAGGTAACGTCCCCAGTTGCATTCTTTGAAGCTATGGTCCCTATATGGTTTCCCAACTTCAGGTTCCATGCCAAGCTAAGAGTGAAATGGAAGGTTCGGGCTTTTTTTCGATGATTCATTTGATGATTCATTTCCACACTTTTCAAATATGTATATTTTAGATAATGTTGGGAGCCGATACGATTTCAGCAGGAACCGAGAGGAAGAGCACATTCAGCTTCATTGGAATTAAATTTTTATATAGGACACGCTTTGCTACGTTTACGAAGGAAGCTGCATGACCTACTGTCGACTTTCTGGTCGGTCACGCGAAATTATATACAAGGGAGAGTTCTTTTCCAGTGCAATGGACTGGCCTATGACGTTCATATCCTATCAGGGTAATATTACATTAAAATGCGAAAGTCCCTTCCCCCCGCATGAGTCAACTTTCTGGAAGCATATCTCTGGAAATTTCTGGATTTTTCCAGTGCCATGGACTGGCCTATGACGTTCATATCCTATCAGGGTAATATTACATTAAAATGCGAAAGTCCCTTCCCCCCGCATGAGTCAACTTTCTGGAAGCATATCTCTGGAAATTTCTGGAGAGATTTTTCAGTGTTAGCTTCAGTGTCATGGGCCTAGTTGGTTGTCATTCGTTCGATAGAATTATGGATGGCCCTAACTACGTTCAAATCTTTCGAGATCACCTCCTCCATAGTGCCAGAAAGCAGTTCGGTCGATGGTCGCAATTGGAGCAAGACAACGATCCCAAATAGAAATCTAGTGACGAAGCAGTTCGTATTCGACGACGTACCCGAAACGATCGACCGGCCGTCGAACTGTCCCGAGATCAATCCGAACAAGAACCTCTGGTCGATTCTCAAACAGCGTGTCCAGATGCGGAAACCTCGACGAATTGGACAGAATTCTGCTGGAAGAATGGGACAGATTCGACATGGGCACTCTGTATCATATGATGGATTCGATGAGAGCGTAATGCTTAGCTATGATTGATTCGAAAGGAGAGAGGATCAACTTTTGATTGTGATACTTGTGTATCTTGTCCCATTCCTTACCATTCAATGAAATTGATTTTGATGTTTTGATACCCCACCCTGAGAATTATTTTTGGACTTTTGGCAAAGGCTTTTGCATCTTAGTGTAGATATTCGTATTTTATTTCAACTGGAAATCATTTCACCAGCAGACCCGTTTGAAGTTATGTTTCTGTTATAGACTTCGGAATTGTCTTTCTATTCCCAAAAATTAGGAATTTACCTCTGATCTCCGTTAACATGTCCATTTTCCTCCAAGCTACCAAAAATATGAATGTGCCTTCTTCATGCTAAAAAAGCGAGACATTCAGCCCTCAAACCTTCTGAGTTATATAGAAATTGAATGCACTTCATGCATGATACGGCCGCATATTGAAACTTATTCATGGATTTTGTCATGAAGAAAAGGGAAAATGCAAGGAATATCCTAATGAGTTCAAGAGACGAATATGATACCTCCTTGTCTTCCTGCGTTTCTTTTTTTTTCAACCGGAGCCTCATAGTGAACTCGCTGCGATTCTTGTGGTAAAATGAGAATGTTCCATTGTGGGGCTTCGCATTTCCCCTTTACAGACTTTCGCATTCCTCCACGTGATATTTTTGGGCTGTTGGCAAGGTGAAAAAATGCGAAAGGGGCCCTACTGTATCACATCGCGAATGACGCAGTGACTGGGTTCTGCTATTTTTTTCGCATTTCGGCACATGTATCTGCTATTTTTATCGTGCGACACGTACTCTTCTCTATCAAAATCATGCCTTCCAGCGTTGCCGCTCTCCGTCGCGGTTAGGAAGTGATCCGGTCAGGTCCTTTCCGGCTGATGGAGTAAAAGTCAAGCAGGTTTGGAATATTTTGCAGGAAAAAGATATGGGAATCCGAGAGACAACGACATCGTTTTATTGAAATGTAACTAGGGAGCGAGAGAGATAATACGGACCCGTGCTTCCCGAATCCTTGTGGGGCGCATGCGAAGTGTCGGGCCAGCGGCGGCCATCCCGTGTGCTCGTGCATCTACTACGGGAACCCCGAGACGAGCTGCTTCGAGGGTGAATGCGTCAGTGCGTCTTCCGCGATCTCGAGCGTTTCCTAAGGCGCGAAAGGGGTAGATCATGCGTCGTTTCTCGTTTTCGCAGAGACTCACGACTGCAGCGACGATCGAGTGTGCAAGGATTTCTACTGCACGGATCCGTGTCCGGGGACGTGCGGGAGAGGTGCCCAGTGCATCGTCCGGAGACACGTCCCCGTCTGCACTTGCCCTGTGGGTCACACTGGCGATCCCTTCGAACAGTGTCGACGACTCGGCCCCGGTAACGTTTCAACGCATGCGTCCGTTTCCCCGTTTCTCCCTGGCGTTCGTGAGACCAATTTCGTCCGTGAATTTCCAGAGGAGCTGTGCTTTCCGTCGCCGTGCGGGAGAAACTCCAAGTGCGAAGTGGCTTTCCATGTGGCCATCTGCTCCTGCCTTCCCCATTTCTTCGGTAACCCCGTCCAAGGGTGCAGGTGAGCCGTTTCTTCGTTTCCAGGAGGGGAATCGAACGAAGCCGGAAAGAACTCACGCTCCCGTCGCGAGGCGACGCGCGGTCCAGTGAGGCCCGTTACCTGCTTCCACTGTTCCCGTCATTTTTGTCGACCTCCTTCGGAAAACTAGGAATCGTCCGAAACGTACGCGAAAGCATACCTCTTCCTCCGAAGATCGCGTCGGAAGAAAAAGAAGAGGTGGATCTTCCCGTCGTCCACCACGCGGTGCACACTGACACACATTTTTATGGGGAGAGCGAACGTGATGAATTTAATGTGTAAAATGCTATGATTTCCAGAGCGGAGTGCGAAACGGATTCCGCCTGTGCACAGACA